GGGTTCACACCACTCTCGAGCAGCGCTCTCTGTTTACTCACTGTTCCTCCCCATTAGAGCCATTCAGTCAGCAGGCATTTACTAAGCACTTACATGCTGACAGCTGACATTTACTGAGCCCTTATACCACCACCAGGCACTGTGCTAAACCCTTGCCAAGCATTTGTCTCAATCCTTGTAACAGCCCAGTGATGAGGTGCCACCTCTGTCCTTATTTTACAGATAAGGGAGACACACAGAGCTGAGTAACTTGTTAGGGTCACACAGCTAGTAAGTGGCAGAGATGGAGTTCACACCCAGGTGTCTGACTCCGGAGCCTAAGTTCTGAGTCACTAGGTTATGCTGCCTAGCACTGTGTGCTGTATGCAGTTGGGGATATAAAGAAATGTCAGGCAAATCTGTGAGGAGGAGAGATGTGATACAGAAAGACAAACCTTGCTGCTAAAAATATGTTGTAATTCAAGGCAACAAAAGAAATGCTGCCACAGACTAGAATGTGACTATTGTCAATATGATGGTAAGGATAATGAGAGAGATCAGCCCAGGCTAGGGTCAATGAAGAGGCTTAAGGAAGGAGATAAAATTTTTCTTGTGGTTTTCCTGCTAGTTAAGGAGACATACCAACTTCCTTTGCAACAATGCAAGAACAACTTGGAGGTTACTAGTGGGCTGGTGCAAATTGCAGTGGGAAATTAAAGAAGGGAGAGATTATCAATTCGAAAAGGCATCTGGTTGATCCTCCAGCTCTGATCACCTGTGGATGGAGCCTGGGGTAGATGGCTTATGGGCAGAATACCTTTCACTGACTCCTCTGCCCAAACTGTAGCAGACTCATTTCCTACATGCACACTTATAGGTTGAAAAAGAGTTTTTCTTTAGGTGTACCTTTTCCCACTCCTATTTTCACATGTCACCTGTGACCACCCAGGGAAGATAGATTCCACTATAGCTGAGCAAGGGGCGCCACATCTCCTGATCTGTCAGGGGTGATGGAATAAAAATAACACAGGAGACTTGAGTTCACTCACTTGGTGGCTCAGTGTTAGGTAACATAGAAAAATGGCCCTGGAACAGAAGGAAGTTGTAGAGTCTGAGTACAGAGATAAGAGAATACCTGCTTTTCCCCGAAGTAGAATCTATCTTTTCAGCCTCATTCCTTCCCCTGGGGACCCCTCCCCTACTCTGGTGTAATGGGCCTCAATCAGATGTGCTGTCCACCACAGGGGAGACGTAACCCAGCTGGCCACCACACGACTCCATCCCCTAGCCGTGGTGACTGGACCAAGCCTGGTGACCGGCAGGCCGCTTGCTTTGCAGCTGTGTGACCTTGCGCTGGAGGAGCGCCATCCACAACCAGGGCCCGTCAGCCAGTACTCAGTCAGTTCTGCAGTGCCACAGGCTCTAGCCTAGAAGCCCACCTCTCCCGTGAAGCCTCTAGACCCCTCCCCACCCCCACCCCTGCCTCCCTGACGGGTACACATTCAGAGGCTCACAGTTGATAATTGTTTTGGAGATTGGGGTTCTATCCAGAGCTATTCCTGATTATCCCAATTAAGGTTATATTTTACTTCCTGGAACAAAAGCACACAATGGAGGTGTAAACGTGAAGATCTTTGTACTACAGATGATTTGAAGAGGAAAAATAGGTATGCCCTCCCCTTTTCCCTGCATCTAGGCATGCTACTAAAGCAAAAGGACTTTGGAATACAGATAATTTTTCTTCCAGGAATATTGTACCAATGCATATGCCTACTAGGGACCTGAAAATGTCTTTTTCTCCCTGCCCTCAACAAACATAAATATTTAATATTTTAAAAAATCAACTTGATAAATAATAAATTATTTTGTTGTTATTCTAATATGTTTCTTTGATTTCTAGTCTCTTTCATACTTAGTGTCCATTTTTTACTTCTTCATTTATGAGTTACTTTTTTAGGTGCTTTTGCAATTTTCTATTAGTATGCTTATTTTTTTCTTAGTGGTTTTTAAGAGTTCTTTGTTTATTAGGACCTCACAAATTTTTCTACATTAGATATTTCCAGTATTTTCACTTTGTCATTTTCTTTGATGTTAATCATGGATATTTTTCAATGTAATTGAAATATTATTTCTGTATAATACAATGCATCCACTTTAAGTGCTCAGTTCAGTGTTTTTTTGACAAATGTACATACGTCCATGTAGCCATGACCACAATCAAGATATAGAATATTTCTGTCACCCCAGAAATTCCTTTGTGCCATTTTACATGGATCCATCACTTTAGATTAGTTTTTTCCTATTCTGAAACTTCATGTAAATGGAATCATATACTGTTTTCACAAAGCCTAATGTTTTTGAGATTTATCCATGCTGTTGTGTTCTCAAAATAAATATTAAGACAATGAAAAGACAAGTCAGACTGTGAGAAAATATTTTTAATGAATATATCTGGTATAGGACTGGCATGGTTGCTTTTGATACAAAAAGATTTTTAATTGTTATCAAGTCAAATATATTTTTCTTTATGCTGATGCTTTTGGTGTTATTCTTAGAAAACTATTATACAACTATTCATAAATAATTTTCTGGCATTTTTATAATGTCAAAATTTCAATATTAAAATTAAAATTCTATTTAAAATAAAAACATCAAAAATATAATTTATCTTAACTACTTTTCAAGAATGTTGGCAAATCATCCCAATACCAATTATTGATCTTGTCCTCTCCCTTATCGGATATTAAATGTCATGTTTATTCAATATTGAAATATTTATAAACACTTAGATCAGTTCTGATCCTTTTGTTCTGTATTCTAGACATGGGACCAACTGAACACTTTTATTAGTGCTAAAACTTTTCTGTTTTGTACCCTGTGAATACTAACCTTTCCCTCTCTCATCTTTCTTCCCTTCTACACTCCCCCCTTTCTTTTTCTCTTTCTCTCTCTTTTCCTTGATAATATGTTGGAATCTAAGTTTTCCAAGCCAGCTACCTTTCCCATCAAATCATTGTGATGTTATCTTTGGGTTTAGATACTCCTTTTTTCCCTTCTTTCCCCACAGTGTTATTGAGGAATAATTGACACATACAATTGTATATATTAAAAATCTACAATGTGATGATTTGATATGTAGGTATATTGTGGATCCATCACCAAGATCAAGATAATTAACATATCCATAGTCGGTGAGAATATTGTTGATTTTAATATCAAAGTTATGTTTAGTTGGTTAAAGTAATGCAGAAACAGGAGTATTAAAGCTAATAGAAAGCTAACCTATTACTATCCAATAATTCAGTGGCCCTGATTTTACCAGTGAGAGAAAGTGAGCCCCTTTTTCAAGTCAGAGGTCTAATTTGTAAGTTGCCTTTCCGAGGCTAGTCTATAGGTGAACCCTGAAGAATTACTGACCATTCACAATGGTTCTTAGTAGTAATTGACTTATTTGCACAAAGAATTGATTCCCACATCTATTTTAACCAGACCTAAGGACTAAATATACTTGACTTCAAAGAAGACAGGTTAAAAGGGACATTAATCTTACTCATGGGAAAGTTAACATTAACATCATTTCTGTCTTTTTAAAGTAGCCATTTGCCATTGATTTTACCCCAGGGGCAGGCATGTAAATAAAGACCAAGAGAAAGAACAGACAGAGTACCTTCTAAACTCAATTTTGTGGTGGGCTTGAGCATCAGAAATAAAATTAGGTGGACCCTAAAGGAATACACAGTTTAGGAGAGGAAGTTGAAGAAGGGCTTGCCGAGCAACCCCTCCCCACCCAGTGTGATGTCTCTCTCGAAACTTCTTTTGTCTTTTGGGAGATCTTTTGTTTAGTTTATCTAAGGCTAGGATTCTTAAATAGGGTGTTCACATAGCTCAGTTGAAGTAATAGACAAGGACACTTTGCCAAGGCTGACATGCTTTATGAATTTAAAGTATTATTATCGTGCTTCTGAAAGTCTAAGGAAGATTGAAAAAAGGTGGTTATCTACTGAAAACTATTTATTGTTGGCGGGACTTAAAAAAAATCATTTCCCCTCAAATAACCACTATTAACAATTTGGTACAGATTTTTATAGTCACAGTTTATAATACAAAAACTCTCACTTACAAGGATATAATGAAGAGTTTCTTTTCCCCAGTTCCTTGGGTCCGGCCCAAGGACTGGGCAAGCAACTGTTTTGCAAAAACTGGCCCCCCTCCTTTCCCCCCTTCACAGTTTCTACCCAACTGGCCAGCAAATAAGAAAGCTTAATGTCCTCCAGTCTTGTAGCCAGAAATTACTAAACCATAGTCTTATTAGAAAGTGTTGGGATGTTTATGGTATGTGGATGCACACTTTAGGAACTCCATACTCTGTTTTATAAGCAGAACTTCTTTACCTCTAGCTCTCCCCCCTGATCATGTGGCCTTGTGGTCCCATGGCCTTGTGGTCCTCTTTGTACTCGGTGTCATCTGTTCAGTACTCTGAAGGTCAGCCTGTAATCTCCCTCTCTGGTAAATAATTGGTGTACGTGGCCAGGATGAAAATCTGAGTGGCTCAGTGGTGTGGAGTCAGGTGGAAAGCTACCGTGGGCGTCCTCGGAGGAGGGAGGGAGGAAGGCTAGCACATGGGATGACTTGGTTGGCTTCTGGTTAGAATAATTGGTGTGTCATGTTTCTTATCTTTGTAAGGTGTGGCATTTTCAGAACCAGCTGGCCCTGTGGGGCCGAGTCCCAGCTCTTTTACAAACTAGCCAGGTGGGCAGTGGCACGTTAGGGAGCATCTGTATCCTAGGCCGTGTTTGTTTCTGATGGTAATAGTACTTTGTGTTTTGCTCCTTTCTCTGTGTTATCCTGAAATCTGTGTAATAATACATGCGATAGGGCTTTGTAAAGTACAAAGCAATGTGTTTTCTTTTAAGGATGATACTTATGACCCTCTCTCTGAGGGACAAAAAGAAAACTAAGTATCTTGAAAACCAGAGGTCAGAGACAGAGGTTTACTTGTCCTTGCTCCGTCCTGAACCCAGGATTCCATTGTGTGTGCCAGAAGAAAGTCTAGAGTGGACCCCCCGAGGAGAACCACTCATCTCCCAGCTTTGAAGTCAACTTAAAGGACTATATGGTAACAGGTATGCATGGTACCTTTACATCCAAATATTCTGCTTGCCGCTGCTGCTCCTCACGTATATTTCAGACCCCCCCACCCCCTAGCCAGCAGACTCTCAGGCTCCCCAGAACTGTGCTGGAGTTAACACAGCCACCCCACACAAAGTGTATGTCTATGGTAGCGTGTTGGGGTGGGGCACATGTGTCTCTGGTCGGGGAGGGACACCGCAGGAGGAACTGGAGAGTCTCAGAAGGAATCTAGGGAAAGGGGCTCAGGAAGGGAGCGGGCAGAATGTTTGGGGGCTTCTGTAGACCTCTCCATACATCCATGAAGTTGGATATTAGCACTCCCAGCTGACCCCAGGCCTGGCTTCTGAGCTCTGTGGGGGGCAAAACAGCAGTATGCCTATACCAGTAAATGGTTAACTCATTTGATAGGGGAAGGAGCAGTAAATAAAGTTCTGTTTTGTATTGTCTGCCAAATTCTCTGGTGTAAATACTTCCACTATGGCTGAGTTCAAGTGACCAAGTGATGTCACTGAACATGCTTTTGGGAAGGGATGTGCTGTAACACGCCATATGTAGAATGCCCACCAAGGAGATCTGATAGCAGCTTATAACTTCAAGTGCATAGGTGAGAGTAAGCGTAATGAAGTAAGTAGGAAGTGATGAGGTCTAAGTATCAATTACCTTTATTTTTAGTATGATTTATTTAATTATATACCTGTATAATTTAATGTTTAATAATGGCAGTGTTTAACAGCCATCCAGAAAAATTACTGAGATTGTGACACTCAGCTCTCACAAGCCAGTACAGACTGGCTCCAGCACACACTGGATCTGAAGGGGAACAAAATGCTTGATGCGTTAGTGGGATATCCGACTGCTAAGGCAAGTATGAGGCTCCTGCCTGCTGTTCATCCCCAGCCCTGCAGGAGGAGAGCTCCAAAATGGGTCTGAGACAAACAACTGTGCTGCCTCAACTATCACAAGCACAATAAACAAAGACAAAAAACCTGCTGGCATAAACTGTTCTCACCTCATGGCTAACCTGTATCCATGTAGCAGGTGGCAGGTCAGGGACTGAAGTGTTAGAGGAAAGTTGAGTTTTGAGATGCAAGGAAGATGAGAGTTTAGTTGGTGTCAAAACAGAGATTATCATAGAAGGTTCTAGAAACCCGGGGTGGCATTTGGATGCTGGATGCTTAGGGTGGGGAGACGAAGCAGGAAAGATAATGGGAGAAAACCAATTCTTTGCACTTCACATTTCTGCCCTGTCCCAGTTCTGGCACAGTTTTTGAAAAACTACATTCCCTCATGAGATTCTTATGGTAAAGGGAAAAACCTTTGTGGTCTCAGAAACACATCTTATAAAATAGGTCTCCCAGAATCAGGCCACAGAGCTGTTCTCAGCAGCCATAGTGAGCCACAAAATGAGAAGTGTCTGAGACCTAGGTGCTACCAAATCCTGACCTGCGGCGTCCACACAGAGAGAAAAACAGCTAAACACCATTTCAGTCCATTATCAACCCAATCAACTTCTTGACTGGCAGCAGAGTAGAAATCTGGTTCTAAAAATAACACTGTAATCTGTGACTTGGAATAATCACACCTATCAAAAGCCAGGTTAAAGAGTGTGTGTATGTGTGTGCGTGCGTGTGTAGGAAAGGTGAGAAAATGAACACTACCTTGTGTATACATGCAACAGTAATTTTCTTTGTCATTTTGTATTTTCTTTCTGGGTAGCAGACTCCATGCTGGGGAGTGGGGCCTCAGTGGGAAGGTACCAGCACTAATGTGCACCCGCCAGGACCCAGGTGCTGGAAGAAGCATCTCCTATCCGTTTTTTTTTGCCCAGTGCTTGAGCTGCTCTGAGGTAGGCATTCACACAGCCAGGAAGTGGTAGAACTGTGTTTCAAACTTTTCTATTGGGCACTGAAAACCTTATGCTCTGCTGCTGCTAATCACGTGCTTTGCAGATTGGACCAGAGATGTCTGGGGCTGGGTCATCCTCGTCATGGTGCGCCCAGCACCAGATCGGTCAGCAGTGGAGGAGGGTCCACCAATGCTGGCTGAATGTAGTTATTTTAAAACACAGAGTGACATCTGAGTGTTTGACATGTGGCATGTGAATGGGGAAGAGACTCTACAACTATCCTAGAGCCAGTGACACCCCCTAAGAGTCAAGGCTTAAAACCAGATAGTAGCAGACATTGATCCCTGTAGTTACAGTTCCTGGTTTACTCGTCAGCGTGGCGTTGCTTGTCAACATTTCTCAGCAAGCTTTGAAGTCAGACACCTTTCAGTGATACAGGTATGTTAGACTGCATCCCAGAGCAAGTCTGGTTTTGTCTTTGGGCTCCAGAGATGCTTAACCCTTGAAGAAAAGCCTAATAGAGGAATAGCTAGATTGGCAAAAATAGAACTTGGCAGTGGGGGAATAATTTTGCACTATTGGTCATGGGATTCCTTTAGATCATCATATTCTAGAGTGTGTGTAAATGGAATCAGTATGGATCTGTAGCCCTAGTCCGAGACCACCATGCACCTGCCCTGTCCCTGTGTAAAGGAGCGCTCAGCTCTCCCTCCCTTCCTCCTCTTTTCTTTTCTCCAGGAAGAGATAGGTCCCCACAATTTGTTCTCAGGTCTGGTGAAGGGACAAGCTGGCTGCCGCTGAAAAGGGAAATGTGAGTGGGAGAAGAGATTGGGGGCTGGAGGGAGGAGGAGAAGGATCTGTGACGGCTGCTGAGAGCCGCCCCATGCCTGCTGAACACCCCACACGGGGGGCGAGACCCCCCTCTGGGGGACTGTTCACCCAGGGCTCCTGGGGAATCTTGAGGGAGAAAGAAACATGGTCCCCACGGTGTCAGGGCCCCACCTGTTTACAGAAAACCGGTTTCCACCTCCCAAGGGGGTAAATTGAGCTGCATATCTGATGATGAGGAAGTGAAGTGGAATGTGAGAATCCTCATTACTGACGTCAAACTTGCCTTTCATTTTATTTATACCCATGACATTGTGACACTGAATCTAATTTTCCATTGTATTTTTTCCTCTTTAGGTCCTGAGAGATGACAAGTGAATTTGTGTCTGAGCCTGGAAAACAATTTTAAATTGGAAGCTGGGGTTCCTACAGGATTTGTCTATCTCTGTTTTCCCACCTGCCTGTTCCTCCCTTGAACCTCTCAACTCACCATCAAAAAGGGCAAAAGGGATCACAGCTCCTACAGGGCCTGACTGCCCTCAAAGTCAGAGCTCAAGGCATCTTGCCCCCTCCTCACTGGTGACAGGCTGTTCCTTCCTGGCACAGGTGCTGGAGGGAGGCCAGGGAGCAGTGAGGTTGCACGGCAGCCTTGGCACAGAGCCCTGGCTGCTGTCTGGGCATGAAGCTGGGCTCTGGTACCAGGAAGGGATTCTAGCTCCCTGAGCCAGAACTGCCTGTGCAGAGACCACTCTGCTGCTCAAGCCCTGGTGGGTCCCACTCCTTCTGTGGGTTCAGGAGCAGAAATGAATCTGGAAGGAATGGCAGGAGCAAGTAGAGGTTGCTGGGGCACAGACGAGCTGTGTCTGCATGTGCAGAAGCATCCTGTGGGAGTGTGCTTAGGGTGGAGGACAATGGCATGTGTGTCCAGCAAGTGGACAGAACAGACTTTACCCAAATTCCTTGCTCTGCTGTGGGACTAGGGGCCTCAGCCCTAAGGACAACCTCCCTCCATCACCAACCAAGGGCCTTAAATCCAGATGATGCAATGTCTCTAACATGGGGCCCTCCCCACCCCAAAATGAAAGCTCCACCTGGCTGCCCTCAGACCCATCACTATTCAGTAGGGCCTCCTGTTGTCACTTTTTCAACAATATTTTTCAGCCTCTGACCCTAGAGTAATCTCAGCTTCCTTGTACTTAGTTCAGAAGATGTCTGTCATTCAGGATTCTGATGTAGAGGTTTGATAAGAGAGGCTTCAGGCCTTCTGAATTAGTAAACGAACAGGGTCAAAGGATTAAAAAACCAAGAAGCACAAGGAGAGCCACACCCCAAGAGGTGGTGGAGCACTGGCTCCTGTCACCTGAAATCTTCCAGGATATTTAGAAACGTGTCAGTGAGTTCTCACTACATTTACCTTGGATGTCTTGTTTGTTTTCTAAACTAAAGTGTCCTGTAGCACCAACAAAATCAGATCCATGTCTTATTGAATCTGCTGTAGTTTCTGTGCTTGGCTTGGTGTTGCTTTCTATTTCTATGTCACTTTTCTCAGTCAGTGGAGGTAAAAATGTCACACAGCAAACTTGTCTAGTAATACAGTGTGGGAAGCTGGAGAGACCTCCTTCAGAGCTGTGGAACAGAGACCTCCTTCAGAGCTGTGGAACAGAGACCTCCTTCAGAGCTGTGGGACAGAGACCTCCTTCAGAGCTGTCCTGTTGCACCCCAGCCGAGGCACAGGTGTGGGAGCTGCACAGGGAGGAAGGGCTGTTTTCACGGGCGGCCGCTTAAGGCCAGGCCGGCAGAGTTCTGTCCACAGCAGTCCACCTAGACCCAGTCCTGAAGCCTGTGACTGTTTAAGCAGCCTGTTTCAAATGCTTTCTGTGAGCAAATCTATTCAGTGCTTTCCTAAAAGGTACTGGGGTGGGGGTGAAGGCCACAGGCAAGGAGGTATATGCGGGCAGTTTCTACCAGCTAAAAAGCACAGAAGTAATGCAAAGCTGCAGGAAATAAAAGTATGATGTAAGGAAACACTAAGTGGACTCCATGGGCTCAGAGTATAACTGGACAAGCTCTGGGTTCCATACTGGGATGCTGGTGTCACTTAGAAATCCCTCTCCCAAGGCTCATTGGAGGGTTGCTCAGGATTAAGTGTGTGTTATTTGTAGTCAGTCCAGGATTCAAGTACTTCTTTATTAGCTCTGTGATGTTGGGAGGGCACTCAAACTCTCCAAGCTTCAGTTTCCACATCTGTAAAAGGGAGCCACTCAGCCTGTCACAGAGGGTTAACACGGGCAGCTTGAAGGAGTTTAGGAAGACAAAGCATGTCCTTGGCATTGAGCATGCACAGGGCTCCCTCACCTTCCCAGCTTGGACTGGGGGTCAGAGAGCCCCGCAGATGATCTGCTTCTAAGTCCTAGCCCAACCAGGTGGCTCCACTTCTCTGAGTGTTCTTTGTGACAGGATACAGAAGTTGGGAATCCATATGCCGACTGAACAGATGTGGGCCATATTGACTGTGTTGACTGACATGTGGGCTGCAGGAGCAAGTGAGCCCCATGAGTCAGGGGTACAGTGTGGAGAGAGGAATTGTTTTCATGAGCCACGGCTGGGAGAGAAGAGCCGAGAACATGAAGATGTGGCTGGCCCGATCCTCACTAAGCACCCCAAGGTAAAGCAGGGCTGGGGGCGGGACTGCCTCAGCCAGGA